CTCCGGTTCTGTACGTGTCAGCTCTGTGAGTTCTGTGGTCAAACCAACAAACTCCGTCCCAAGTTCCTTAAAACCTGAAGAGAGCATTCAGCAGGAGTCAGGCCAGAGCCAGGTGGACTGGAGCGGAACAGAAGTAATGTGATGGTGAAGGAGGAAGAGCAGGTCAGTTTGACAGTGACGTACAGATTAGTCATGGAGCATGTGAAACCATTCACAACCATTAAATGAGGTGAAAACACAGTTGCTCCGGCGGGCAGACCTGAATAGACATGAGCATAGTGGAACATGCATGGACAAAGTGCAGTCTGAGAGTAAGATACTGTAAAGTATTTGGAGGAAGGTTCTCCCTGCATAGTAAGAATGGTTCAGTCACGGCTCCAAACTTAACAAAACTGTGAACATCTAGCAAGTTTTGAAAATAACTGATCTTAGGTGATCTGTGCCAATCTGAACTTTAGTTTGAACCATAAAAAATAAATATATGTGGAGGAGGGAGATAGATAATCTCCAAAGACTGTAAATTTGGTCCGAGAAGGTATTGTATGAGGGGAGTGGTACAGCATGTAAAAACAGCAGTTTTTAGATATCATTTTTAAATGATTTAGAAAATCAAGTATCTTTTTCCTCTCTTTGCAATTTTTCACTAGTTTGTATGTGTCTCTACCAATGGAAATTTCCAAAGAAAGTTTACAATGTGTTTACATTTTGAAGGGGGATGGCATACATATTTCAGATTCATCCTAATGTCATTTCCACAATTTTAAAAGAGGATGTTGGTTTAATTTTTTATATACTTTTATATACTTTATATATAAAGGAAGTAGAGGCAGGATGAGGAAATGAGACTCAAGAGTAACACAGATAGCTGCACCACCAGCAAAGCGGGCGAAGGAGCGAGCACAAACATGGCTAGGTGCACTAGTGATGCTGTAACTACGTGACAGTTTTTTACAAGTCCAATGTGCATATTTTATGACAGCAACAAGCACCATCTCACGCAAGTCCTCTACTACAACTAAAACAACCTCAACTTCCAGCATCAAAGCTAACTGGCGTGAGCATGCAGCATCAATTAATGTAGTAGGACTGTGCAGGAAATTTGGCCCCCTGAGTTGCAGTGTATTATACAGCAAACGGTCTAGAAAAGGCATTGGAGAGATACCTGGGTGGGCTCATTGGTCTTAGTTTTTAACACTTGCTGGACATGCATCTGTATTCTTTCACCACTAACTCCTTTAAAGGAATAGTACACCCAAAACATGATTAGCCTTCATTTTCTACTCACCCCCATGCTGAACAACACTCTGGAGTACTTTTTTGATATCNTACACACACACACACACACACACACACACACACACACACACACACACACACACACACACACACACACACACACACACACACAGTCCAGTAGAGAGAAAACAAAAAAACGTTAGAACTGTAGATTTACAGTTATATGTTTATATATGTATATATATATATATATATATATTTTTTTTTTACTACTTTTCAAGGCTGCACTTTCAAAAAAGATTAAATTGTCCAGAGAGCTGTTCCAAACTAAATTTCCTTTTTACACTTCTGTAAACAAAATCACAAATAAATTCTGTCTAAGTCTAAGATCACCTCAAAGCAGGAAGAAGGAGAAGAGAAGTTCACTATTTCAGATAGGTGTTCACACCTCTGGTGGCTTCCATGTGACATGTCTGTGGAGGCCTTGCCTGAAACGGGGGTTGTTGCAGAGATTCCACAGCTGATTCCACATCATCATGTCAAGATGAAATATGGACACTGGTTCCCAATGTCCAAAAAGTATGATCATGGCATATGGTATAACAGTACATATAAGTAAGTAAAAATATATAACAAATATATACAAATGCCATTTCCCTTTACAGCACAAACAAGTTAGAAGCAGATACATTTTGTACCTCTGTCTATTATTTTAATCATTAGGCTTTTTTGTGTTTCCAGACTCGCTGTAAAACTGACTGCTGCAGGAGGTTATTCAGGTCTACAGATATAAACCTCTAAAATAAACCTGTTGATATAGTTGATTATACTGACACTTTTAAGTAATCATTTTTAATGAGTGTCTGTATTTATGGACCTCCGTACTCGCCTCAGTTTAAGTTTCAGTTCAGTGGGACAGGCTATGGGGTTTTAACAGAAATAGCATGGCAGTATAGGTACAGGATTACTTTTTATGGTATAGAAAGTGAAGAAAAGTTTTATAGTTATACTCTAAGCTGATGTACTCTTCATAGTTTCCTGTCCTTCCTTTAGTAATGCAGCTCTACACCTCACTGTTTTCTGTTTGATTAACTAAATTTTGATAGTTTGTATAATGTAATGAATCTCAAAGTGTCTTTCCACAGCACTGCTTTTCTGGATATTTCATTATAGATCCCCTATTAGTGTGCTTAGGGCACAGTTTAGTTTAGAATAGATTCTTGTGCTTCGCAGTTTATAGACAACCTTACATGGAAGTTTCTTGGTGGATTCTTCCTCTATCTCAGTTACATTGAAGACCTCATAGGGAGGGATCAGGACCTCTCTTTCATGTTTATACTTAGAGAAATAAGAGATGTCTGCTCCAAAGCAGGTGTAGATTTCAAAGCACGATTCATTACCAAACACTTCGCCCCTATAGCCACCTATTGAACTAGAGGTAAAGGAACCAAAGCGAATTTCATTATTAACAACATCTTTTTGGAATTTGCTGTCTGTGCTCCGGTAACTCGTGACACATTTTTCTGATCCGTTTTTGAGGTAGTGCAGGGCCATGGTAAGATAGAAGTGAAGTGTGTGATAATGAAAATCAGTTTGGTACTTAGCTTTTTGTTCACGGACTGCTTTGTTAAATTCTTTATATAATGGTGGTTGATTAAGGGTGTAAGCATAAAGAGCCTTGATTAGGTTTTTGTCTAGCTGTGATTTCTTCCGCCGTTTATTGTAATATTTTTCTGCTTCTTCCCAGGCTAATTTGAAGTTCTTGTTTTTTTCCTCCTCTGGTAAATACTTTTCCAGTATAAGATTCTCAATCTCCCTTTTACAGCCATCGTACATGTCATCAACAGAGTTTGGAGCCATATCCAGTTTGATTCGGGGATCCACCTGAGGTTCAACAAATAAAACATATTTAGATTAGTACTATGAAAGTTTTTCACTCATTCCCAAAACAAACCACCCCTCACCTTTTTAGGCAGCTCGGTTTTATTCAACAATATATCAA